AGCAATATTTTTATACTCTTCTCTGGTCATATGTCCAACCTTCCACTTCTTGTGAGCTTCTTTTTTATGTTTAAGATCCGCTAGGATTTCACCGTTAAGCCAAGCTGGTCGCCTGCCATATTTACTATTCTTTCGACTCATCGGGATGGTTTGTCCCTGTAACCTCAACAGGGATTCCTTGAAATACAGCCAGCTCTCCTGGACTCCTTTCCCCTTCATGTTAGTCCCCCAGGGGATCCTACCCATCCGTTCCCTGAGGGAGTCGAAGTCTGCTTTCCTGAAGTCCAGGGTCCGTATCCTGCTGCTTATCTTTCTTCCCTGTGTCAGGATCCTGAACTCAACCAACTCATGGTCACTGCCTCCCAGATTCCCGTCCACTTTTGCTTCCCCCACTAATTCTTCCCTGTTTGTGAGCAGCAGGTCAAGAAAAGCTCCCCCCCAGTTGGCTCCTCTAGCACTTGCATCAGGAAATTGTCCCCTATGCTTTCCAAAAACTTCCTGGATTGTCTATGCACCGCTGTAGTGCTCTCCCAGCAGATATCCGGAAGATTAAAGTCACCCATGAGAACCAGGGCGTGCGATCTAGTAGCTTCTGCGAGTTGCCGGAAGAAAGCCTCATCCACCTCATCCCCCTGGTCCGGTGGTCTATAGCAGACTCCCACCACTACATCACTCTTATTGCTCACACTTCTAAACTTAATCCAGAGATACTCAGGTTTTTCTGCAGTTTCGTACCGGAGCTCTGAGCAGTCATACTGCTCCCTTACATACAGGGCTACTTCCCCACCTTTTCTGCCCTGCCTGTCCTTCCTGAACAGTTTATAACCATCCATGACAGTACTCCAGTCATGTGAGTTATCCCACCAAGTCTCTGTTATTCCAATCACGTCATAATTCCTTGACATCACCAGGACCTCCAGTTCTCCCTGCTTGTTTCCAAGGCTTTGTGCATTCGTATATAAGCACTTGAGATAACCTGCTGATCGCCCCTCATTCTCAGTATGAGGCAGGAGCCCTCCCCTCCCAGACGTTCCTGCCTGTGCTTCCACCCAGTATCCCACTTTCCCACTTACCTCAGGGCTTTGGTCTCCTTCCCCCGATGAACCTAGTTTAAAGCCCTCCTCACTAGGTTAGCCAACCTGCTCGCAAAGATGCTCTTCCCTCTCTTCGTAAGATGGACAAATGACATAAACGTCCCAGCCAGCAGCTGCTGCTCTCCAGCCACCTAGCTCTGAAGACAGCACCACTGCCAGCAACAGCACAGAAGTAAGGGTGGGCCATGCCACCCTTACTTGTGCGGTGCCTTCAGAGCTGGATGACTTGGAGAGTGGTGACAGCTGGATGGCTGCTCAGCTCTGAGGGCAGAGCCACCGCCACCAGCAGCATGGAAGTAAGAGTGGCATAGTATATATTGCCACCTTTACTTCCATGCTGCTGCTCATGGCAGAACTGCCTTCCATGCTGGGTGGCCAGATAGTGGTGGCCGCTGCCAGGTCACCCAGCTCTGAAGACAGCGCTGCCGTTGGTAACAGCGCAGACATAAGGGTGTCAGGGTATGATATTACTCCCATTACTTCTGTGCTCAGAAGTAAAGGTGGCATGCTATGGTATTGCCATCTTTACTTCCGGGCTGCTGCAGATGGCAGAGTTGCCTTAGAGCTGGTGGCCAGATCGCGGTGGCCATTGGCTGGCCACCCAGCTCTGAAGGTAGCATCACCAGCAGCAGCAGCACAGAAGTAAGGGTGGCAGGATATGGTATTGCCAGCCTTACTTCCACACTGCAGCTTGTCACTGGGTCAGCGGGGATCCTACCAAAACATGCTGACTTAGCTTTTGGTTCTATAACCATTTCCATGTATAGTCCCTCTGGTCTACTTCCGATACAGCAATCCGGGAGTTTCCGGGGACTCTGGGTTCCTCGGCCTGTGCAGCTCTCAGCAGCTCCGTCCTCTCTTGGGCATCTTCAGGTAGCCAGGTATCTGCCTGGATCTCAGCAGGCCTGGCTTCTGCAATCGGGCTTCTGCAGCTCCTGGGCTGGAGTCAACGATGTGTGTCCACCCCCCTTGATGTTCAGCCCTGACTGAGCTGAGCTGCTCCCTTTTATACTAGTGCTCCAACTGGAGCATGCGCAGCAGGGGTGAGAGGGCATGGCTTCCTCAGCCCACAGTGAGGGGTTAACCCTTCCCTGTTCAGTGTGGGGAGAGTACACCCCATCACAGAGGGTGACTATTTGTTGCATGAGGCATTGTTGCTGTTCTTATTGCTGCTCTGCCAATTCCTGAATGAGCTGCTGCTGTAATATCTCCTGTTGTTGCTCCTGGTTGGCCATTTGTTGGAGCAGCTGGTACTGTTGTTGCTGCAATTGGGCTGCAGGTTACTGTTGACTATCTAACAGCCACTTCAATACTTTTACCATATCTAGCCTTTTTCTCTTTTTTAGGCCTATCAGCAGGTCTGGGATGTTGCCTGCTTTCTTTGCCAACTGTGGTGAGGGCCGGGTTTATGTGTGGTACCACCTAGTAGGTACATCACTGGGTATCAACTGTCCTGTCTCTGGCCTCCCTTGCTAGCCATCACTCCAGTGGCAGTCCACCTTTTGATAGGCAGTGACTTGACCCACAGAGCCACTTCACCAATTGAAGTTCACCCCCTTCTGAGTTAAGAGTCCAGTACAGTGTATACAGTCCAACATCCCCACCGAAGAGTCTTCAACCCACATGTTGCCTGTGAGTGGCACACCGTAGACTCAGAGCTTACAACATCTCTATCCTCTCTTCCTCTCCAAAGGAGGGGAAAGGGTTTTATCCCCCCTCCACGAAAAAGGGTGGTTCGTAGGGGAGCCCAGGCCCTCCCTCTCCAATCGGCATATGGTCAAATGCCTCATCAGTGATCCTCCAGAAGTTAGAGCCCAGGGCTCCCTAGTCTTAGGGAAGGGCTAGTCCCTTCTCTCAGGCCTGGGGTAGCTGCTGCTTGCAGAATCTTTCTTGTAGCCAGGACTTCTGCTGCATCCTTATTCAGGAGCTCTCAAGGTAAAGCCTCTCGTTCTCTGCTGTCTGGCTCCCTTCTGAGTTGTCTGGCTCCCTTCTAAACTCCTTGTAAACAGGGACCTTGGAAAGCCAGTTGACCCAGTGGTTGCAATATTTGGCTTCCTGCTTGACCTCCTGTTTCTGTGTACAATCAGTCTTTAAGGCAGGTAGCAGTAGGGGGACCCAGGCCCTTGCACTCCAGCATGTCCCAGCCCAGGGCCCTGTGTAAATTAACCCCGGAATAGGGGACCTTCCAAGGGGGAGTCTACATTTGCTGCCCTGGGCTACTTCCTGCTGTTGCTCCTTCGGTTTGGGGCATGGCCCCTATAGTCCAAGTACCTGTGGTGGCTTGTCTCTAGAATGATCCCTCATAGACCCTGTGCAGCATCCTGCTGAGGTTCCAGGTTCCTCCAGGTGGGGCAACACCCACCAGGTCTCTGCGCTTCTGTCACCCAGGTTCCTCTAAGGATGGGTGCTCCTAAGTCTCTTTCTCCATGTCCTTTGACCTGGAAGACAGTGCTGGGTTCCTGGTGGATGCCTTGGCTGGCAGGCTAGCTCCTCTCTCTTCACCAGTCAGCCCCAAACTGAGTCAGGTTCTCTTTTTTTCTCTCCCCTCCAGGCCTGGCATTAGCTGCAGGTATCACAGAGGGGGCTAGCTGGGCCCAAAGGCTCTCCTTAACCCCTTCTGTGCTAACGGGTGGTTTCTCTGCTTCACCACACTCCTCGTCCAGCTAGAGGAGGTTCTGTAGTTCAATGGGGTGAGATCACAGCGGCCCAGGACTGCTATCTAACCCTCCTGGCCCAGTGTGGGGTTTATACACCCCATCATAGGCGTCCTAAGAGGCACAGCCCTTGCAGCGCCTCAGGCATCTGGCAAAAGGAATGGATGGTGTGGAGTTGGCACATTACCTTGTCCGTGACATCCTCCTGCTGCAAGAGAACAAGAACCTGTCAGAGACTTGGATGCCCTTAGGAATCAGGAGGGATTAATGGCAATAGAAACCAGCAGCATTTCCACCCATCATCTGCCCGGGTCTCCGGGGCAGGTATACTCTCCTGACTGCTGGGATGGACTCTTGCCTTTCTCTCTAGTGACCTCCAGTGCTAAACAACCTCCCCCCATCCCCTCATTGTAGGGTGAGCGTCAGCTTCCATTTCCTCAGCCTCCCTCTGATAGGTGTTCCATCTCCAAACCCACCTGGGGACTCAGCTCATGTTATCAGAATCTCTCCTCCACCATCCACTCAACCAAGTCATGGCAGGGATGGGGCTCTAGCAGCGTGGGTGGGAGGGTTTCTGGCAGCAGTAATATGGGATGGGGGAGGCTGAGCTCTTTCCCCAAGTGACCCTCAGTGACTAATGGTGAAGCTGCAGGTTGGCAGCCCTAGTGAATGAGGCTGATCAACAGCCCCTGTGGATGGAATCATCCAATTCTCCCCAGAGCAAGTCCAGCCTGGGCAACAGCAAAGCAATTTCCCCCAGCTCACATGCCTCACCCCTGCCCGGTCAGTTTGCCATGGCCAAGGTAATGTACCAGCTCTGCACCATCCTGGCCCCCCAAAGCTGCCAGTGATAGGGGCAACTCTAAATGGCGTATCTGGTGACATGGACACTAGGCCCCTGGGAACTGGGCTGAGGCCCTATGGGGCAGGAAAGGCTCATAGACATCTCTAGGGGATTCTCTTGCCCATACCATGAGCAATGGCAGCTTCTCCTGGTGGTGTAACTCTTGTAATTAAATAGACTTGCTAAAGAGCTGGTTCTGAACTGCTCAGGGACAAGCTGTCTCCATCCTGCTTGTGGAGGTGAATTCATCTCCCATCCCAATGGCACCAGCTCCGACTCTCATTCCCCGCCAAGCTTGTTGCTGCCCAGCCACTGAATGGCATTAGGATGGGAATGATTTTCCATAGCCTAAAGGTGAAAGGCAGTGGGTCCCACCCCCAAACTCCTGAGCCTAACCCAGCTGCTTACCTCATCACCCATCAGCTGATCGGCTTCCCCCAGAATGGAGTAGGCTAGGACCAGCCCAGCCTGGCTGATCTGGAGCAGAGGGTTGCAGATGGCCAGAGTTGCTGTTTTGAGGAATGATCTTCTCTGTACCTCCGAGAAGATATTTCCGAAGACCTGAAACCAACAGAACATGAGTCTTTAGATGACTGCCCAGAGCCAGGCTCCAAATCCTGGGCTGGAATGGTATTTCTGTCTGGTGACTCAGTTGCAGGCACTGACGGATCAAAAGCCTAGTGGCTCTTTCTGGAGGGGGAATCACAGCAGGGGCCATGATGTGCTGGGAATGTATCTGTGTGGGTGAGCAGGCATGCTCTGGAATGCAGCTCTCAGTGACAATGGGGACCCTCGACTGTCTCCAACAGAGAAACTTCCTGAAAGTAGTTGCTTGAGGCATGGGACTTTTGGAGCTGACAGACCAAAGGTCTAGTCCCCTCCCCTTAATGATTTCTCTAGTAACTGGGTCTGGCGACTGAAGCACACGGGTTTGTTCCAAGGAGAATCTAAACTGCAGCATGACAAAGACAATGTGACCTCACCACAAAGACAATAGTTCCCTGGTGGGGGTGGGTGGGTGTTCTGCTTCCTGACTTATGATGGCAAACCCCACCCATTTTCTGGGATTCCAACAAGGATCTGGTCAGGCAATAGCTTGGTGTATCCTGCCCACTCACCAACCCAGTGGCTCCCCTCTCAGAAACTCATGTGTCAGCCAGGGAGACAGGGACAGGAACTGGATTCCCAAAGACACAATCTTGCAGTAACTCACTCAGGATTTGCAAAAAGAAAAGGAGTACTTGTGGCACCTTAGAGACTAACCAATTTATTTGAGCATGAGCTTTCGTGAGCTACAGCTCACTTCATCGGATGCATCGAAGTGAGCTGTAGCTCACGAAAGCTAATGCTCAAATAAATTGGTTAGTCTCTAAGGTGCCACAAGTACTCCTTTTCTTTTTGCAAATACAGACTAACACGGCTGTTACTCTGAAACCTGTCACTCAGGATTCTTTTCATGCGACATAGCAATGGATCCATGGAACACATGAAACCACTACTATTAGCAATGCTCCAACCCAGGACCTTTAATGCCATCCTCTTCCACTGGGCTGAACAAGGAAGTCTATGAGCTAAAAATAAGTAGCAGGATCTTGTCCAGTCTCCAGTATGCAGCCACTGCAGGGACACCCAGCCATCTAGCTATCATTATCTTAACAACAGACAGACAGACAGACAAAGGGAAAGTTTTTCCCAATTTTAAAAAGTTCTAGCCCTCCCATTGGCTCTTTTGGTCAGGTGCCCACTCCCTTCCTTTTATCTATGGGCTTTTTTAACCCTTTACAGGTAAAGCAAGTAGAGAACAGCTACTAACAGGGATTTTGTAGCTAACTGGCTGTCCATAAAAGGAAACTTCCCCTCTCCTCCCCCCCCCCGCCCACTTCTTTTATCACATAGCCATTAATATCAAAGGCAGTTTTTGGTCCCAATCTTTTCCTTGCTGGTTTACCACTTTTCTTAGGGCAGTTTTTATTGTCCTGTTCATTCTTTCTACCTGCCTGGAGCTTTGAGGATGGCCAGCTATATGTAGCCTCTGTTTAACACTGAAAGCTTGACACAATCCCTTTGTAATTTCTCCTATAAAATGAAGTCCCTGATCAGAAACTATTTCTATAGGGATCCCCATTCTTATAATAACTTGATCCACTAGAACCCTAGCTGTAGCTAATGCTGTATTATTTTTCGAAGGGATTGCTTGAACCCATTTAGTGAAAGGATCAATTATCACAAGGCAATATTGATTTTCTCTTGCAGTTTTTGCCAGTGGTCTAATAAAATTGATTTGTACCTTGCCCATGGGCCTTCTGTTCTCTGATGGAATGGTCCTTTTACTACTTTGGTATCTGCATTATTAGCTAAACAGGGTAAACAATTGTTCACATATTGCTCTACATCCGCCCTCATACTTGGCTACCAACCTGCCATTTGCAGTTTATCAAGGGTTTTATCTATTCCCATATGCCCATTATTATGTACTAAGGAGATTATTTCATTGGGACTACCCATACAGACATATTATCTGTTTTAGTAGTTAATACTAATCCTGTTTCATGCTGCCAAATTTTCCATCCTTGGTGTTTCCTCTTTTGACACCAATTTTTGTATCTCAGAATCTTTCCTTTGTAAGGCTACTAGATTAGTTTGTTCTATCTTTTCTCATTCTATTTTTGTTATAGGTGCTAACTGGAACTTTGGTTTCCATATCATCCCTTCGTTGGCATCCTTCTTAGTTTGTTCATCTGCCTTCCTATTCCACTGAGCCCCTTCAACATTCTTCTTGTGGGCCTTTACTTTTCCCATTAACACAGGTTGTGTTCTTTCTTGTGTCAATTCCCATAAATAAATTTCAATTTTTCAGCATGACTTATAGGTTTACCATCTGCTGATTTCATACCCCTCTTTTGCCATTGAGGCGTCTAACCTATTATAGCTCTTAATACCCAGTCTGTGAAAATAGTCACAGTCACATCTATTGGTGTATTCTCCAGTGCCCTTATTACTGCTACAATTTCAGCAGCTTGTGCCAAGCGTGGTAAACGTTGTCCTTCAGAAACCTTCTCATCTGATATCCTTACGGCCGCATAGCCCATATATGCCTTGCCTCTCTCATAAAAACTAGACCCATCCACAAACCAAGTAACTTTTACGGTATCTATGACCACACTTGAGATTGCTCCACTTTGGAACATGGCAGGTCCCTCAGGAGGAGTTTCTGGCAAAGGACACTCATGCTGTTCTCCTTCTATCAGAAGATCATAAGGAATAGGAGATAAACTTGGAATCTTTTCTGTGGCTATATTCTTATTTAACAAGGCTAATGTCCATTTTGCTAATCTGGGACTGGAAATATGCCCATCATTAATTTTCCCTGTCAGCACATATTTCACAGGTGAATGGGATGTTTTCAAAAGCATTGGGGATAGTCTTATTGATATTCACAGTGTTGTAAAGCCCAAACTAATGCCAATACCTCCTTCTTAAAAGGAGTAAATCCTTGTTCTTCTCCATCTAAGATTTTAGATGCATATGCCACCAGTCAAAGGCCTGTACCATGGTCTTGGCTTAAAATAGCACTTATTCCAGTATTTGTAGTAGCCAATTGCAATACAAAAGGCTGTCCTACTTTTGGATATGCTAAAGCTGGGGCTTGTGCTAATGCCCTTTTAAGATGAGTAAATGCTTCCTGTTGTTCTAAACCCCTTTTCCATTTGTGACCTTTTCTTAACAATTGATACAACGGACTGGCCTTTTCTGCATAGTTTTCTATAAACTCCCTCAAGAAATTAGTCATCCCTAAGAATGACCTTTAAATTGATATATCTGTTTGAGCTGGTAATTTTTGCAAAAATTCTACCCTTTGCCTATCTGGTGTCCGACCTTCTTGTCCCAACGTTATTCCTAGATAATTAACTTGTTGCTGACATATCTGAGCTTTCTCTGGACTAACCTTGAACCCCGTTTCTTTTATTTTTTGTAATACTTGACCTAGTATTTCCAAATTCTCCTCTTTTGTTTTTGTGCTAATAATGATATCATCTACATATATGATATGATATTATCCTTATTAGGCATTTTATCCCATATTTTCTTTACATGCATATGGCAAATTGTGGGGCTATTGTGAAATCCTGGGAGGGTTCTGGTGAAACAGAACTGTTTTCCCAAGAATGTAAAGGCAAATTTATACCAGGAGTCTGGATGTAACGGTATGGCAAAGAACGCATTTGCCAGATCCAAGACGTGAATGACCATGCTCCTCCCATAATGGAAGCAATCACTTCAGGATATTTTGCAACTACTGGGGCAGTCATTGAGGTTACTTTATTAAGGGGTCTTAGATCGATGGTTAACCTGCAGGTTTTACCATCTGCTTTTAAAACTGTCCAAATAGCAACATTATTTATGCTTTGTTGTTCTACTATGACACCCTGCTCCAAGAGTCCTTGGATAGTCTTCATCAAGCTAGGTTCTGCTTCCTTGGGATAGTTATACTGTCTTTGCGGTGAGGGATCAGTCCAATTAATTAGTACCTCTGCTTCTATCTTTCCACACTCTGCCTTATTAGTAGTCCAGACCGATTTATATTTTTGTGCAATTTTTAAAACTTCTATTGGCCAATTTGGCCATTTCATTTCTTCTGTTGCCTTAATAGTAGCTAATCTATACCCTGCTTCAATAACAATTGGTTGATCTACTATACTGGTCCTATTGGAAGGTATTTCCCATAATACCTTATTTACCAAATCTACTGTCACTCCGAGCTTGCTTAATACATCAAACCCAATTATTCTATCGCCATCCAGATTCATTAAACCAAACTGTTCTCTTCGTCTTGTTCCTAATTGAAAAGAAACAGGAACACTAAACGGTACCTTACACATTGCTTCATTAAATCACTGGAGCTTCTTGATTATTACAGGAGATCCAAATAAATTCTTATTCCTTGTATTTACTAAAGAAGATGTAACACCTGTATCTATCAACATATTTTGTCCAAACGCTCCCTTATTAAACTCCACATGAACAGTGGGTCTCCCCCAATCGTCTGTTTGTAAATGTGCCACTAAATCAGCATGATCTCTTGCTGATATTGGGGAGATAGGAGGCACTTGGCTTCCCTATACCTGATCTCTACTGGTTGGGACCATAGGTATGCTTTTTTTCATGATTTGCTAATCTTTGAAGCAGTTCTTCTGTAAGTACCCATTAATTTGTTCTTTAAATTCGTGCTGCAGCAATCTTTTCCATAGCCAATTTCTTCCTGGATCATTGATTCTTTGTTCATAAGAAACAAACTTTTTATTTTTATCTTTCTCTTTTCTTAGTCCTTGTCACGGGGCGACGACTCCCTGGTGCAACGCCTCCTGTCAGTCGTCCTGGGAATTAGCTCTTCCAGCCAGGAGCGCCCTCTGCAGGCCGGTGTCTCGCCTGACGCTGGCCCCCATGTCCCTCCCAGACCCCAGTGCACTCCTCATCAGGGTTTGGCCCCAGCAGTAACCCACAATCCAAGTCTCCCCATCCAGGGGATCCCCCAACCCTCTACCCCTACCTTGCCTCAGTGG